AAGGGCCTTAGTGCCTTACAGAGGCGCTTTGGGGTTCCGCAGCTGCCACGCCCTGTACTAGCCTTCCCAATGCATTCTGATCCCACCTGGCCCGACCCATGCTCCACCGCCCCATCCTGATGCCGTTCATTTCTGGACTTAACCAGGCAGGGTGATGCACTCTGAGGCGGCCCAGGACTCCTAGAGGGGAAACTAAAGCCAAGGTCTCCTTTGAGGTCGTTCCCATGTTGGCCACCAGGTGGCGACATCGGCACAGAACAATCCCGAGGCTGTCCATCACGGCCAGGGAGGGAAGCGGGTGGTACAAGCCCAAAACTTGGTGACTCTGACAGCTGCTCCCCGGAACCCCCGGAGATTAGCTTTCTGGGTGTGTGTGTGTGTGTCTTTCAGGGATCCAGCTGTGCCAAGGGCCCCACAAGGCGCATGGTAAACGTGGAATAAATGTTGAAAAGGGACCTACCTTTGTTCTCCACTATTTCCAGACTTCGCTTCAGTGTGGCAGGGCTGGGGCAAGGGCACCAGCTTCTTGTTGCTTTTCTCCGATAGAGGAAAAGGCTTCTCTGGCTGTGGGTATGTGTCCAGCAGGAAACCACGCGTGCTGGTCTCAGACCCTCTGGTCCCCTTTGTGACCACCCCCAAACAGGTCATATGTTCTATTTTCCTCATTAAATTTGTAAAATGAGGGTTAGGGTAGCTACCCTGATTGGAGAATCATGGGACTGCAGGAGCACACAGTGGCCAAGGAAGGGTCTTAGGAGCCTAAGTTCCTACCTGACTACATTCTTGCTGTGTGGCCTAAGGCTCTGTGCTGTCTGGAGTTCAGTTTCCTAATCAGTAAATTAGGGGTGATGACAATACCTCCCACACAAGGTTTCTGTAAGGACGGAGGTAGTCAATGCATGAAAAGCCTTTAGAACTAGGTCTGATGTGAAAGAAACAGCCAAAAATATAGGGCAGCCTGAACTGAGAAGGGACTTGGAGATGGGCCAGCCTGGGCTTCCTGCCCAGGGCAGGAACCCTCCATCAGCATTCAGGGTGATTGGCTCCAGATGGACTTGCCTGCCTCTAGTGACAGAGCACTCATTCCCTCTTAGGTAAGGAGGTGACCCACTGGAGGTCGGCCCAGCTCATCGATTAGATCAGTGTCCTTTCCCAGAGTCACTGCCAGTTCTCTGCCTTGCCTTGTGTTCATGAGGATCCAATCAAACCCATCAGCAGGGACCTGCACCACCCAACTGCTGGACTGCTACATGGGACAGGAGAGGGTCCTTCCTAGATGCAAACACAGTGCTCCTAGGATGGGGAGCTTACCTTCACCACTGCGGAAGAAAGGAAGGAAGCGGAGATGTACCTGTGCCCCTGGGACCCAGACAGAAAGGCCTCATGAGGCCCTGAGGAGGGGAGGTCTTTGTCTTAGCTACCAGGCCAGTGCAGAAGGCCACCCCCTCTTTTTTTTAGTTTTTGTAAGATTTATTTATTTTAATTTTTATGTGTATGAGTGTCTGCATGCATGTAAGTATATCACATGTGTGCAATGCCACTGGAGGCCAAAAGAGGATGTTGGATCCAATGGAACTGAAGTTACACACAATTGTGATTTACCATGTGGGTGCTGGGAACGGAACCCAGTCTTTGGGAAGAGCAGTAAGTGCTCTTAACCACCGAGCCGTCCCTCCCTATGCAGGCCAGGCTGGCCTTGATCTTACAGAGATCCACCTACCTCTGCCTCCTGAGTGCTGGGACTAAAGGCGTGCAATACCATACCAGGTACAGAAGGCCACTCTTGATGGGGGTCTCTCCTGCTGGTTGGCTCCTCCTAGAGCAAGAGTCTTGGGGAGGAGGAAGTGATATGAGGTTGGGACATACGTCCTCCTCCCCCAGCACCTCTGCCTCCTGGAGAGGAGCCTCTGAAGACTCAGGCTGGGCCAGGGTGTCTGGGTCTGCGCTCCCTTGGGTATTTGGAAATCCTGCCTGGGAGTCTGTTTCCCTTGGAGAAACGGGGACGCCATGAGGAGAAAATTATGACTTATGTTTGTCTCTCCACTGCCTGGTATACAACAATAAACATTCATGGAACTCAACCGAACACAGCGGCCAGTGACTTGTGGTCTTGTTTGGGAAATGTCAGACTCAGTGCAGAGGAGGCCCCTGGCGACTGCAGGGACCTTGACTACCCATTCTACTTCCTCCGGCATGACTGTCTGTGAAGCCCTCCCAGCACCCTTCCTTACTCCTTCCTAAATGCTTCTCTCCTTCTCTGTCACCCCTCTTTGCTCTATGTGCTGTTCTACAGGACTGATTAGAAATCACTTTATCCTTTCCGTGCCTCAGTTTCTGCATCTATAAAATGGAAGCAATCTAAATATCTGCCACATAGGATTGCAGTGAGCACGGAACTGGAGATTAAAAGCCCTCGACGAATGCTAGGCATTGAGAGCTATGCTGAAGCATTGTTGAATTGTGCTGGTTTTGCTCTGGTCCTCTTTAGATATGTCCCTCAAAGATGGGTTCTCACCCTTCTTCATCCTCTGGGAAGGTCAGTGCTGGGGACAGAATAGGCACTCCTCAAGATGTGAAGGGTGGATGGTGGCTAGGAGGTGCTGTCCCCAGTGACCTCGCCTACAAAGTCCAGCTCAAAGGCCCAGCGGAGGGGAGCTGCGGCTGCCTGCCAGGGTCGCTCATAGAACCCCGTTTCTTTCCCCGGCTTCTTCCTCCACCTCCAGAGCTTTCTCCCTGCTCATTCAGTTCCTGCCCAGGACACAGGGAAGGAAAAGCCGGGGGAATGGAGCCCAGCGGGTCCTCCGCTTGCAGCCACAGGACCACGGGAGCTGGAGAGCAGAAACAGCGAAGTCTCAACGTGCTGTGGTTTAGTTTCCCTCATGCTAGCCCCTGAAGCCAGTCAGTGGCAGTGTCACCTGGACCAGAGGGGGCTCCTTCCCCAGGCCTGGCCTGGCCTCTCCCAGGGAGACTATGTGGTTGCCCATTGACCCAGAAACTGGTAATGATCCAGGACTTCTGCCTCCTCCTTTGCAGTCACAGCTGTGCTCCATAGCCCCAGGGTCGGCACGGTGTGGGCTGCATTAGCTCTACCTAGAGTCCAGACAGTCCACTGAGACCTACCCAGAGCCTCCTGTGTGCCAGGGCAATGGGAGGTAGCACTGTTACCCATCCATCTATCTGTGTAACCCCCTGTGCCAGGTAGGAAGCTGGTAGAGTTGAAGACCTGCAGGAGGCCAGAGGGAGCACCTTGCTAGGCATGCAGCAAGGACCTAGGAAGCTCACTTCCCTGCGGCTCCGAGGGCAGAGCCGAGAGTACAGTATGCCATGAGGGACTGAGGACAGCCTGTCTGGGGGACAGAGCCGCACCAGCACAAACAGGCAAGAGCAGTGAGCTGGCTCCTGGGCAGGCAGGGGCACAGCACCAGTGTTGGAGGAATGGGGCTCTGTGTTCTGTGCAGCCTGGCACTCAGCCGCCTCCCAGTGCCAAGTCATAAGGAGACTCACAGAGGCACAGACCGATGCCTTTAAAATGCTCCCTCTGTGCACTGAGGCATTAACATGACGTCTATCACCATGGCACCGAAGTGCTTAGACAACCTGCTCCCCCCAGGAGCTGGGGAGCAGCGTGAAGCAGATTATCCATGCTTCGCTGTGACACTCGAGATCATGTATCACCTTGATGGATCAACAGTCAATACTGCTGGGGTCCCAGCCCGCCCCTCCCCGCTGCATGTTCCTCTGTTCATATGTCTTCCTCAGCTGGTGGGTGGCCGGGTTACTGTCTGCCTCTGCCCTCCACCCTTTGTGCTCTCCTTCTGGCCAGAACACCTTGCAGCCTTCACTGTTCCTGTGTGCCCAGCCTCGTCCGTGGATGCAGAAGGAGTGGAAACCCAGGCACCACCGGGCTTCCACACACCCCACAGACCTGTCCCCATCGTGGGCAAGTCATGTCGCTTCTTCAGGCTGAAGCATTTCCTTTGTGCTGTTGGGCTAAGGTCTCTCTGTGGCTTAGTGGCACTAATAAGAAAGGAGGTCAGTGCTTGGGCTGTTTGGGACTTAGCCTCTTTCCTGCCTGCTTTGCCGCGTGCCTTGTACCTCTACCTTCCTGCCTGCTCCACCTCTGCCACTCAGGACACAGACAGACACGGGGCTGTAGCTCATCCAACCCAGCACTGGGCTCCAGGACCCCAAGGGTGAAGTTCTAGTCTGCCAAGGATTGGAGCCTGGCGGCCGACAATCACAGCTCCTGTCCTGGTTTCTCTAAAAAGATGACAGGGGCCATGATGCATGTGGAGCCGCTCACTGTGGGGGGGATGGGGCGAGTTCAGGTTAGGAAAGCCACCAGGAGTAATGACAGTTGAAGTGGACTGAAAGGTGTGCCCTGGACCTCAGCAGGGCCACACAGTGGCACTTGCTTGGCCAGTGCAGTCTTCCACCCCTGAGGCGTTAGGCATCCTCTGAGCCTGGGACAACTGTCCTTACGGTCGACTGCTCCTCCACCCCACCCTGCCCCTTCCCTATGCTCCAGCCACTCCCCCCTCCCTTGAAAAGCCTACCCTTCAGGACACTTTATCAAAGGACTGCAGGAGCCTTGCAGAGGGGACTGTGTGGATATAACTAGGGTTGCTAGGGTCATTCGCAGAGCTTCAGAAGTGACAGCTAACTCAAGGAGCTTGGCCACCAGAGTCTCCTGGACAGGGCCCCCACTGGAAGGGCCCAAGGAGGACAGAAACCCACAGCAGAGTTTGACCCTGGGGATGCCTAGGTTCCCCTCCTTGGCTCTTTTCCCACCATACGGCTTGGATAAGTTGGAGTCCCATATTGTTCATCTGTGGGCACCCCAGTAAGGCTGTTCCCACTGTTTAGGAGAGAGGTTGGGGTTATGGAGAAAAGGGCAGAAAAGGAGCCTTGAGGAAGCAGAGAGTGGCTGGAAGGAGGAACTTACGGGGACACAAAAGGGAACTGTTGCTGCAGCAGGGGCCATTTCCTCCTGGAAACCAAAGAGGAAGGAGGGACATCGAGCCAGTGTCCTGCACAAGGAGGTGTCCAGATGGAGAGCCGGTTTCCGTGGTGCTGGGCCCTGGAGGGGTGCCTGCGCCCTCCTGGCTGGCTCCCGGTCTGCTGGCTCTTTCATTTGCTGCTGGTGCCCTGGACTCTGCAGCTGGCAGGTACGTCTGTCTCCTCCTCATGTACCCTCTGTGCTCGATCACACATCAGAGCGGCTTTCATCCAGTCAGAGCAGCTAATTTCAGGGACCTGTCTCTGAGGATTTGTTGGCTGCAGTCTGAAAGTTGCAGACTTCACAGGGGAAGTCTTGAGGGACTGAGAAGGTGTTTAATGCCTTAGCAATGTGGCTTTTGAAGGGATGGGGACAACGCTGTTCCCCTCACTGTGTGTTAACAGTGTGTGTGTGCGCGCACACACGCACACGTCCAGCATAGGCTGGGCCTCTCGTCCTTACACAGAAGGATGGGTATTGTGTGGTGAAGTTGATATGGAGTCTGTGGGAGGGACTCTTTTATGGCTGCTGAGGTAGAGCCTCGTTGTACCTGTGATGCAGCTGCCCAGGGGGCTGTTGTTGGGGTCAGTTAGCCAGAGAGAGAAAGGAAAGCCAGCAACTAGCCAGAGCATGGTGCCTAGGGGTGCACACCACTGCTAAGACCAGCAGAGAGGGTCACACTTTCCCACTTCCTGAAATACAACCTAAGGCCAAGTATTTTATGACCAGTGTGTGTCTCCCCAGGGCCAACACTATTGCCCTTTCCTGGTTCCAGGCTCCCTTGGAAGCTCGGTGGCCTGGACCCAAAGCAGGCTGTGGAGTGGGGGGAGTTTGTTCAGTGCGCCCCAAGGAGCGTTCCTCTTCAGGACAGTCAGACAGTGCTGACTAAGTTCTGTCAGATAATGTGTCCCTCCTTTGGACTGGCTAGCAGCTGGCCCATGGCTGAACAGTGGCCACCCCACTGTGGAGGCTGGGCTCTTTCGTCTCTTGGACTTTATTTTGTACGTGTGAGTGTGCATGTGTTACGGTGAGTGTGTGGAGGTCGGAGGTCAACCTCGGGTGTCCATCCCTGCCCCTTCTACCTTGTTGGCGATGGCGTTTCTTTTTGTTTGTTTGTTTCTTGCTGCTATACGTGCCAGGCTAGCTGGCTGGCCAGCTTCCAAGTATCCTTCTGCCTCCGTGGCCCACCTTGAGGCAGGAGCTCTCTGGGATTACAGGTGTGCACTTCCTCACAGGGCTTTTTGGGTTCTGGGTATTCAAACTCAAGCCCTCATTGTTGCCCACTGGGCCATCTCCCCAGCCTTACTTTTTTTAAAAAAATTCCTTTTTTTAAAAAAATTTTATGTGTATGAGTGTATTGCCTATATGTGTGTAAGTGCACCCATGTTGTGTAATGCCCATGGAGGTCAGAAGACGGCATTGGATGCTCTGGAGTTGGAGTTACGGATATTCGCTATGTGGGTTCTGGGAATCGAACCCAGGTCCTCTGCAAGACCAGTCGGGGCTCTTAACCACTGAGCCATCTCTCCAACCTCTCTCAGTCTTACTTTTATGAGGCTCCTAGGAGCCGTTTCTACCCCCATTCTGTTATAACTCCCCTTTCCATTTATATCATAAACAACAATTATTCCAATGATCATGAATTAGACTCCAATGAACCTTTACCTGAACACAATCCACTCTCCCAACACCTAATGTCCTCCGCATTGTTTCAAGGACAGGGAAACAGAGGCCTAGGGAGGTCAAGCAGTAGAGGTCAGGCTCTAGGCCAGGGTCAGCCTCCGCCCTAGCCAGAACCCTCTCCAGTGGGGTCTGCCGAGCCTGTCATCTTTCTTTGCAAAGAACATTCTTCACAGGAAAATTTACGCCCGGCGAGGAAGGAGCCAACCTGTGCAGTTCTATCGCAGGTTGGGGTACAAGCCCTGTGACCCGTCTTCTCTACCCCTGTACATGCATATCCACCCCAGACCCACACGAAGATAGAGCGATGGGATGTAATTTGCTGCTGACGGTGTGTTTGAACTCCCACTTAAGTGAGGTGTTGTGACCCATGTCTCTAATGCTATGGCTCAGGAGGCTGAGGCAGGAAGAGAGCCACAAGTTCTAGACTAGCCTAGGCTACAGAGTGAGATCCAGCATCAACAACCCCTCTTCCCTCCAATAAGAATTCCCATTTAATCATTTTAACTTAATTTCCCGCAAGTTCCCATTCTTTCTGTCCTCCAAAGACCACGTGTTAGAAGTGACTTTGCTGGCCAAGCTGCTGCCGCCAACGAACAGCTGCTTTGTAAGAAGGCGAACTGCAAAGAGAAACAGATGTTTTGCCCTGTATTGCAAAGAACACTGCCACAGAGAAACGCTTCCTGTCCTTTCACAAGAGCCTGTGCTCGCCGGCTCCCGGAGCCCACTGCAGGAGCACTCAGCCCCCTTCTCTGGTCCTGCCCCCTTGTCCATCTCAGCTTCTGCTTCTCCACCACCCTCCTGCCTCAGCCTTCTGAGCCCTAGAATTACAGGCATGGGCCACCAGAGAGGATGCTTTGAGGACATTCTCCTCTACTCCCCTCCCCTCCCCATCCCCCTCCCCCTCCTTCCTTCCTTTCTTTCCTCTTCCTCCTTCTCTTCAACTCCCTCTTTAATATTATTATTATATGTATGTGTTCGTGTTTTGTATATGTGTGGGTCCATGTGTTCCATAGTATATGTATGGAGGCCACAGGATAGCTTTGTGGAGTTGGGTCTCTCCCTCCACCTTTGGGTTCTGGAGATCAAATTCAGATCACGAGGCTTGCACAGCAAGCACCTTTACCCACGGAACCATATCGTTGGTCCTTGTCTCTTTTTTTGAGACAAGATTTCAATGTGTAACCCAGGCTGGGCATGAACTTGTTATATAGTCCAGACCAGCCTAGAAGTCAATGGATAGCCCAGGCTAGCTTTAAGCTCTCCATCCTCTGGCCTCAGTCAGTCTCTCAAATGCTGGGATTGCCACCTTCTCCTGACTTGCTATGTGATCTGGGGTAATTTCCTTAACCTTTCTGGGCCTTCGTGTCTTCCACAGGTCCGCTCCTGTTCTCTTTGGCTCAGAGCTCTGAGCTTGGTTTAGTTATTTCTCTCTCCTGCTCATGGAGTAGGAAGTGGCTTGCAGAACTTTCCAGGCGGCCGCGGGTCTCTAGGCACTGGGGCGAATGGAGGTGAATGAGCCCCAGGCTGGTGGAAATCATTTGAGTCGGCCCAGAGAACAGGGCCCAGGGTGAAGCTCTGTCTGTGTCTGGCTGCTGTGCGCTCTGGCCTCGATGTCACGGCTCCCTTTGTGATTCCAAACATGAATAGTTGCTCTGCGTTTGGCAGGCCAAGGCTTCCAGCCTCCCTCCACGCCCCTCCAGCCTCTGTCACCATTGGCTTCTGCCTTTTATCTTTGTTTAATCCCAATAAAGAGCTTGGGAGGCAGAGGCCTGTAGAGAGGCAGTGCAGTGCTGGAGGTGGGCTGGGGGAGTGCTGGAAAGACTGCCCGCTGGAGGGGGCACTGGCCGGGGGCTGGACCCAGAGGAGGGAAGAGCAGGTGAGGTGAGGGACAGGCACAGCATGGATAAAGGCTGGGAGGCCAAAAGCCTGCGCTGGGGGAAGGACCTGCCGAGCAGAGGTTCTGTTTGACTGGAGAGGAGTCTCTCCCAGAGCAGTGGGACACGAGACCTTGCCAGCAGATTATAATGCCTGTCAGGTGGAGGGAGGTTCAGAAGCCAAACCGCTAGGTCCTATCCTCATTCCTTCTTCATTGTAATTGTGCAATGTAATACACATACTGAACAGTACAGCAGTGAATAATAAATACTAACCAAAAAATATGCTGCATGACTAAGACACAGAGCAAGAGAGAGAACATTCTAGAACATTCCAGAACATTCTTCCAAAGATACCCTTTCTCCCCTTAGAGGTGTCACTCTGTTCTGAATGAGAGTGGACATGGGGGTGCTGGGTAAACATGAACCTGTTTCTTTATAGTCTAATCATTTAGCTCAGATCACCCTATCATGGAGCAGGTTGTCTGTTTTTAGTGCTAGGGATGGAAACCAGGGCTTTACAATACCAGTCAAACACTCTGTGACTGAGATACACCCCCTACTCTGCTTGCTTTTGAACTTGATGTCATTGGAATGCTACTGTGTGTATTTTTGTACCTTTTTCAATGTTACGCCTTCTAAGGTCTATCCAGCTGATGGGGTGGCTGACGTTGTTGTCACTGCTGTACAAGAGTAGCAGACTAGTGCCTGTAGGCTAAGTCCAGCCCTCTGCCTCTTTCGATAGGGTCTATGAGTTAGGAATAGATTTTTATACTTCTACATGGTTTGGGGGAAAATCAAAAGAAAAATAGCCCGTGACATGAAAATTATGCAAAGTTCAAATTCCCATGTCCATAAATAAGCTTCACTGGAACACAGCAGTGTCTTTTCTTTTTGTTCATAGATCCTCTGTGATAGCAGAGTTGAGTAGCTGGGACACAGCTCACATGGTCCACAAAGCCTTCCGTGTTTACTCCCTGGCCCCAGTGGACTGCTGCTGTGGGGTATCCAGCTAAGGGACTACCCTACAGTTTCTTTAGTTATGCTGGGCGTTTGAGGGGGTGGCTTCCTGTTTGGGGCTGTGTGTAGGGACATGGTTTACAGGTGCCTTGCATTTGTGTACATGCGTGTGTGTGCATGTGCATGTGGGGGGGGTGCATGTGTGCGCCTCTTTGTATGCCTCTGTGTGTTGGATGTTCCCACTGAGGCTCCTTCTGTCCTCCCTGGGTGGCTGGATTGTGCATGTCCACAGAGCAGGGGCGCTGGCCCCCATGGCTCATGGCTCCCAGCATGGTGCTCAGTACCTGGGAAAAACTCAGGAAGGAGTAACAACAATAGCTGAATTAAGCTTGTCAGCCCCAGACAGTCCCAGAGGGAGTTCCACCAAGAGGGGACCAGAGGGACGAGATGGAAGGTCTATGTGACCATCCTGGTCAGAGATGGGGCTGGACCGGCTCCTACCCTCTCTGACCTCAGGCTCCTCTCTGGTATGTGTAGATTACAAAGCCCCTTGGGTCTTGTGAGTAGACATGGGGTGTTGGATAAACATGAACATCAAAGTGGGATCTGACCTTCCCTTGCTCCTGGTGGCACTAGACCAGACTTTATAGTG